TGCACCTTAGTCTCCAGAGAGACACCATTACTCTTCAGTACTTTAGAGAGGTCCCTAACAGCAGACTTTCCCATGGCAATGCACCTTTTAATTTCCTGGCTACTGGTGCCGAGACTGTTGACTGTGGAGCCAAGCAAACTAAAGCTGTGAACAATCTCAACCTCTTCACCTTCCATCCTAATGCTGCCAATTGGTCCAGTGGTGAGAATCTTTGTCTTCTTGACATTGAGCCTCAATCCATATTGGAGGCTATAGTCAATCTAATTCCTGTCTAGTCTACCATGTGAGATCGTGTGTAAATGAGAGGGTATTTCATAAGGACAGTAGAGATGTCAATGGACTAGATTAAGAATGTATTACCAGGCTCATGACCCAGTGCAGTGATCTGAACATGTAAAGACCTTGAACAAGGGACATGCTTGTGGCATCAGAAGAGACTTGCTGTCAGGAAGTAGTAGTGGCTACTGGCTGCCAAAAATTTTGTCAATCAGTTATTATCACATGACAAATACTCCTCAACCAAGACACTTAAAACATTAATCCTTTACTATTCATTCATGAGTCTGTATATCAGCTGGGCAGTATGTTTTGTCCAGGACAGGCTCAGGTCATGTTGGCTGGGTCTACTCATGCATGTGTCTCCAGACTGCTGGCATAATTGCTGGAGATCACTTCTCTAGGTGAACTTGCCTGAGTTATTTATCAGTTTCATACATCTTGCCCTCTAGCAAATTGACCTGATTGTGACTGTTGATCTTTTCTGGATAAACTGTATTTTGTGAATTAACCTGGCTTTGCAACCTAAGTCTTCCTTCCCTCATCAATGTTCAACTTGTTATCAGAGTAAGAGTTCTGCCTCACACTGGCAAAAAGCCCTTGGACACAGGAGTCAGGACAGAAAAATTTTGTTTATATACATGCAATATGAGAGACATATGAGCTTCTCATAATTTCTTCTTCTTGTCAGTAGCAATGGGGTCTTACATAGTGGGGACATGGACAATGAACAAGTGAGAATTTCCCCAGTACTTTCGCATGTCCAGATGTTCAAACCTAGTGATAGTTCTAGGCTTTCCTAGGACACAATATAGCTGGTTCCATCCAATATTTTATGACCAAAAGGGAGTAATTCCCAAGTGTAGGATATAGGTTTTAAGGCAAGTACGTCTCAGCTGTAGTTTACTGGGTAAGATAAAGAAAAGCTTTCCTTAGAGAGTTCTTTTATATGACTGGACAAATGAGTAAACATTCTTGAAAAGGCCTCAAAGTTTGATAAAGAAGTCAATCAATTAGCCAAGAGTACAAGAGAGAAAGATCAAGAAACAAAAACTCTCTTCCTTTTAAACAGTTATAAAAAGAAGTATTAGTTTTACTTCTAGCTTAAGATATTGTGAAATTTAGTATCTACTAATTTAGGAATTAGTCTTCTATTTTTCCATCTATTTGCTCCAAAATGAGCTCTGGTGGCCTAATGGCAAGAAGTTGCACTGCAATCCCAAAGGCATGCAGTTCAAAGCCACCAACTGCTCTGCGGGAGAAGGATGGGCAATCTCCTCTTGTGTGATTAACTCCCTCTGAAAACCCACTGGAGGGTCAGCTATGGATACATTCCAACTCTACGGTACACAACAGCAACAAAGAGGTCATACAAAGTGCTCCTTTAAACTGATAAAGTATTTAAAGAACAGAAATCAAGAGCAAGAATGTCGGTCTCCAGACTAACTAACATGTGCCAGATCCAGACCATGCTCTTCATGATTACTTGCTGTGCATCATAGAGCTGGACAATTACCAAGGATGACAGAAGAATTGATGCCTTTGAGCTCTGGTGCTGGAGAAGAGTTTGGAACATAACATGGACTGCCAAGAGAACTAACAGGTCTGTCTTGGAGAAAGTGAAACCAAATTGTTCCTTGGAGGCAAGGATTTTGAGACTTTGTTTCACATACTTTGGGCATGTAGCCAGGAGGGTCCAGTCGTTTTGGGAAGAATATCATGCTTGGAAGGGTTGAGAGACAGTGCAGGAGAGGAAGACCCTGGATGAGATGGATTTACACAAAAATGGGATAATGAGGGTATGTGTATCAGAGACAGTCAGATTTGTTCAGGATAGAGCAAGGTTCAGAGCTATTATCCATAGGGTCACTGTGAGTCACAAGTGACTCAATGGCACATAACAATAACAACTATTGTTTAAATATTATAAAATATTAGATTTTCAGTACTTTATCATTGATTGCAAGCTTAGGTTTGCTTGTTGTGATTGTTATGTGCTGTCGAGTCATTTGTGACTCATAGCGACCCTATGTACAACAACCCTAAACCCTGCTCTATCCTGTGCCTATCGCATTGCCTCTGACACACCCATCCCAATTACCCCAGTCACTGAATCAATCCACCTCATAGAGGGTCTTCCCCTCCTGCACT